CCCAACAGGAGAAAAAGTACGATGATCACTAAGTCACACTTTCGGCAGATTGGCCCATTTTTCAGGGGCTCAAAAAATCGTTTTTGTAAATATCTCGGCATCCAGTGGTCCAATTTTGATGAACTTTTTTTTAAATTGTAGAGCTAAATGAGGGCTACAAAATAAAAAAGAGTTCATTAAAATTGAATTACTGGATGCTGAGATATTTACAAAAAACGATTTTTTGAGTTTCAGCAAAAAGGGGTGTTTTTGGCCAAAAGTCCATTATGACCTTTATATTAGATATCCGGGGTCCTATTTTCATAATCTAAATTATAGTATTATAACGTATCTAAGAAGTTCTCATTAAAGATCTTTTGATACAATTCAACATCAAGACCTTTATTGATTTTACATAAGTATTCTACTCCAAAACAAATAAAACATCCCCATATAAAAATACTTTTACTATCAAACTTTTTTCTAATAATAAACATGGCCATCTGATCCAAAAATCTGAAATTTAGACTCGTCTAACCATATAACTTTACTCCAGTTACTTACAGTCCATTTCTAATATTTTTGTATAAATTTTAATTGTTTTTTTCAGTAAATTTTTAATAAAAGAGGTTTCTTATATTTTGTATAAGCAAACAAGTGAAACAACCCATTTTTATTAATGCTCTCTGCATAGTTCTTTTACTTACTTCAATTCTATCATTAATTTTTAGAGATTTTTAAACGCTTACTTTCATAGAATATTTATTTATATTCATCTATCATTATACACCTAATCATAATTCTTTTATTACAATCAGTTAACTTATGTAATTTTCCAGTTTTTTCTTGTCATTTACACTATTAGTTTCTTCAAATTTCTTTTTTAATTGTGAAATACTTAAATAGTGAATATTTTTACCAATTCTTGCAACCACCTTCCTGAAACTAAGACCCAATTTTAATAATTAAATTGCTTGAATTCTTTGTTCTATTGTTAATTAGTTTAGTATATTTAAAATAAAAAAAATAAAGAAAAAGTAATGAAAAAAAATAAATAAATACTTTATATTTTAAAAACTTTTCTAATTACATGTATTTTTAAAAATGTGTAATTATTTTATTTTAATATAAATCGTCAAAAGAAATGCAACACTAGAAAAAAATAAAGTAGTACAGTCAACTCTTGTTATAACGAACCCTAGGTTCTAGATCTCAACTTCGCTATAAGGCTATAGTGAAAATTTTAAGAGATTTAATTGGTTAATTCATTATAATAAAGGGAAATTTATTATAGTTGTCTGAAAAATTTACTATATTAAGAGTTCGCTATATCAAGATTTGACTGTACATTTCTGGGATAATCTATAAACTTAATTAAATCTAATTGGATATATATAAATGATCACTGAATATTATAATTTAATTTAGTTAAATTTATATTTATCAATTAAGTGAAAAAAAATATACATGTAATGATATAAATTATGATTGATAATTATAGTATTGCATTTCTTTTAATAATTACTATATATTTATAGGAATTTAATTAATATTTATAGCATTAGGATTTTTTTTAGAAAATTTCATAAGATTGTAAAATTTGTAATATTTTTAGCACTATTTTTTAATCTCTTTTTGTAAAATTAGGAAAAATATGATGGTATTAATTATAAGACTTATTTTCAATATTAAGGGTATTACATATCATGTGTTAATTTCATAATGATCTCCATAGTAAATTTCATATTATATAATAATACAAATTTCTGTATAATATAAACTTCTGTAATATTTAACATATAAAGATGAAATTTACATTATTAGAAATCCATGGTTCTGAACTTTATTATTTAACTTTAAAAACTTCATTTTTTAAGAAACTTCTTGAAAAACCTTCGTATGAAATTGCGAATATGAATATATGTTTTTTATTGGTTACCACATATTTGGCTTGACTCATCCTGTAAGTTTAGCATACAGTGACACCTCTCTAAGTGCACCCTTCTTGGGACCATAGTAAAAAAATAGTAGAATGTGCACTTATAGAGAGGGTGTGCATTTATAGAGAGTAAAATATTAAGAGCTCTTATACCGTAAGTTGGGACCAGACCCATCGTGCACTTAAAGAGAATTTATATAGTACGTGCATTTATAGAGGATGCACTTATAGAGGTGTCACTGTATACTGTATACAATAAACATTTTGATATACATCATATACTTTTTTTTTAATACTCACAAAGTTTCAAAATACATCCTTTCAATAATATGATTTATATTTGTAAATACAATAAAATACATTTTTTTTTTTATTTTTTCATCAGGAAATTTTATAGCGCGAAAAATTGCATAAGTTTACGATTTTGTAAGTTTACGAAAGTTTATGGCATAATATTTCAAAAAATTTCAAAATATTACATAAGTTTACAATTTCGTAAGATTTATGTGATATTACGGTTAAAATATTACACAAGTTTTCAATATCGTAAGATTTACGCAATATTACAGTTAAAATATTTTAAAATTTTACGAGACTGTAAACCTGCGTAATATTATGGTTAAAATATTTCGAAAATTTATGAGACTGTAAACCTGCGTAATATTACGGTTAAAATATTTTGAAAATTTACGAGATTGTAAACCTATGTAATATTACTATTCGATCGTTAAAGCTGCGTATGCAGTAGAACGTATACAAGGGGCATGTGATATTATTGAATAATCAAAAATAATATAAACACCTTTTCTTTTATATAAACACCTTTTTTTAAAAATTTGGGAAAGCAAATTTATTTTTATTTACGAATTTTTTATTATTTACAATTTTTATGTTAAAAATTAAAGTAAATTCTAATTTTTATTATAACTTAATAAAAAAATATACATTTGATACTTGTTCGCTACTATTTTATAAAATAGTACCCAGGCTGTACAGCATGGACGTCAGTATCAGTCACAGCCCAAAAAAAACGTGAGTCTCCAGCCGATATTTGGTACGGACTGGGCCTAGCTACTCACTTAATAAATAATAAAAAAATAAAAATAATTATCTTCTTCTATGATACGTAGGTAAGTTTCTCCTTGCCCTACGATCATCATGCATGACTAAAATTAATCAAATTTATCAAATTTAAAATATGAACGTAAATATTAATTATAAATTTTATTATAGTATAATTACCCGACCTCTCCCAAAATTTCGTTCTAAATTCGCGATAATATCTTTGGCCGGTACGCGTCCACAGCCGCCGCCCAGGATTACCATTACGATAAAGGACATAGTTCTAAATATCAAAATCAGTTTGAATATTCAATAAATACATTTAATTTATATGAATGTAATTTTATTTATTTACTTACATGGTAATCCCTAATGAGGTTCCTCTACTTTTGGCTGCACTGTTGCCCAGAAACTCTCATTCGAAATATTCTATTTATTCTGATTCAATTAAATGGATTGGTTAATTTGAATTTAAATTCTTTCTTAAAGAAAATTATAGATATTAGTCATATGAACCTATTGGCAACAGAGTCCCAAAAATCATGGCGGCTTCTACCATTAATATTGTGGTAGGCGCGGTTTCTGTCTCAGCGTATATCAACAAATTCGTCCATCATAGCCCAGTTCCAATAGACGTTATAATGGAAATGACGTGAACATGTGTGGTGAGGTATTATTAGATTAGATTTGATTTTTATAATTTTATTTTGGGATGAGTAAAAATTTGAAAGAAAGTCGTAAAATGTCACTTTAAATAAAATTTGAACAATACCTCTTTGGTTTGATTTTATTTCTCGTTTCAATTAAAATTTAATTTATTAGACTTTTCATCATTAAACATATTAATTAAATCTCATGCAGATATGGATTATCTAAATATAAATATGATTAAATCAAAAAATAAAAAAAAATCTTAGTTTGATTTCAATTAAAAATAATTGAAAATCATGTACATGTTTAATTGTTTTAAATATAAATATCAATATATCATATTTAAAAATAAAACAATTTATTATTAGCACATTCTATTGAATTTTAAAAAAATCAATTTTTTTTTTAAAAAAAAAAATCATCAATATATCATATTTAAAAATAAAACAATTATATTCTGATTAAATATTTTGCGTATATTTCTTAAAAAAATCATAAAAAAAATCTTGTACATTATACATGCAATTACTAAATATCATCCCCTTGTGATAAATAAAAAATTACGCAACACAAATTCAACACAAATTCAACATAAATTTATCAAATTTAACGAAATTTGGTCAAAATTAATAATTTTTTACCAGAATTATTAATACAAATTGAACACAAATTGAACACAAATTTCAGTCACGATTTATTTATATCACATCCGCGTTGTTAATAATTAAATAAATAAATCTGCATTTTATTTATGATATGGAAAACGTAACCATAAATTCTTTTAAGGATATAATTTTATTAAAATAAATTAAAACTCCTATATCAAGTGACTAAAAAATATATTTATTTACGAAATATTCATTTTGTTTATCAAATCGGAGTACTATGTGAACGACACCATGTATAGACTCTATAGCTACAAAGTTATATAATTCTATCAATTTTAAGTGAGGACATCCATATAAATATAGGTTCCTTTTAGATTTAAAGTCATACCATTGAATTAATGCGAGATTTAGCGGTGGGTCTGTTAATACTTCTGCTAACAATAAGGCCTATAAATAATAAATATTTATTAATACTTTTATAATAAATTATTACATAAATTGGAAAAATACCTGTCCATAACAAAGTCCTTTGTCTAATATATAATCATTTGATTCTTCAGAATCCATTGAAATAGCTATGTCGCTAAACCATACTTTATTATGATATCTGTTTGTGGCACACATTATGGCACCATTTTCCAGTATTACCGATCCGTATATATTTATTTGGGTTTCACCAATAATTGTGAAACCATCAAGTAAATCTAGATATGAATCCAGACAACCTATAAATCTAGCAAAACCGGTCTGCATTTTATTGTCTACGGAATCTTTTTTTCATTAAAAAATGTATTTGCATCTTGTAAAGAGAATTCAAATAGTCTTGCAGAAAATTTACAAGTGCTAGGTGTTTTTGCCTGATTCACTGAATGTTGAGACATTCTAATAGATATTGCTTGACGTTTTATCTATTAATTTAATTTCCATCTTAAGTTATATAATAAATATATACAATAAATAAATTTCCAAATACTTACAGTTCGTAAAAGCTGAGGTTCGACATCTTTTTTATTGCTAATTTGGTAGGTATTTTAACGAAATATTTATGAAGACTTTCGTAAGTTTCTGTAGTATAGCCATTTATTGCGCCATAAGATCGTATTGAGTCAATAATGTGATAAACCCATGAATGCAATTTAGGCAACTTCAAATTGGAAGGAGAAACAAATTTAAAAGTCTTGACAAACATCTGGGCCCATCTATATATTGCATCCTAAAATTTAAATGTTAATTTAATTTATTTAATTTAAATTTTCAATTTTACTAAAATTTTAATACATACATTAAATTTCTCCAAGTCACTTTCACTAAATTCTTTATATCTACTTAAAATATACATTTCATTTCAATATTTGTACAATTTCGCAAGATCATCATTATTTACAAAATTATCTACTTCGTTATTATTTTCATCATATAAATTATCAATAACAAATATCATGACTTTCATCAAACTTCGATATTCATTAGCAGTTAATTTTGCAATTGACTGCAGTCCATTGGAAAAAATTTTAATGGCGGAAAAACGTGAAATTGCTGCTAGACGGCGATTTACTTCTTTAACTAATTTATTACCATTAACATGTTGCAATTTTAAGATATCGCACGTGAAGATAATTTGATAACGAAATAAACCCAAATTTAAATGATGCATTCTGTTAGGAACAGTAGCCAAGTAGATATTTATATTTCTTGATAATATAAATATTTATAATTAATATATATATATATTATTATAATTATTTCTACTTTTGCATACTTACGGCAAATTCCAAAAAAAATTATATACAGATTCTATGCAAACAGATTTTTGTTTATCATTTTCAAAATATTTACGCATTTCATCATGAGTTCTTAGTATTACATCATTAACCGATAAGTCTATATTTGCAAAATTGTCCCTTTTAATTAAACAGGAGTGATATGAATGCTTGAATTGGAGGATTTATAAACTAAACAAAAACTTGCAGTTTCTGGCCAATCTGCAATAATAGTTGAAACTCTAGGATAAAACCAGGTATTTTCATTATTTATAAAAAGGTCTATACCATCTTTTAATAAAATAATCAGTTCTAGTAAATAACATAAAGATTTATAAAAGGTATCACGAACCAGATCTTTATTTGCAGCTTCTAAAATTGGTAAATATCCCAAAAGTTGCTTTGCATCCTGTTTATTACGATGCCATATTGGGATATTGTTTAATGTAATATATATTGGATGCAATTGACTTTTTCCTAATGTATCTGTGGTTGTTGCATCTGAATATAAAATAATTGATAATAATTTGGAACAAGTAGGTAAGGATTCTTGCGTAGTCTTCCACCATTTTCCAGTGTTTTGCTCACCATAAATACTTTCTCCATTATACTATAAAATAATATAAATAAATTAAAATAAATATTATTTAAATTATTGAATTAAATAATATTTGGCATTTACCTCAAAGTTTTCGTAAGATAGCGCAAAATTTTGTGTTATGTCAGGAATAGCTAAAATATTTTTGATGCACTGTATTAAATTTTGATAATAAAGAAAATAATCTTTATCCTTATGTTTTGTTATGAGGACTTTACTAAATTCTAAATTAGAAAACTTCATGTTATTCATAAATGCTCGTCCCTGTTCAATATTTTTTGGTAATGGTGATTCTGTAAGATTTGAATGTTTATTAAAAAATCGTATTATTTCATTACCACCATTAGCAAGTTTTAAACAGGCGTATAAAGTGTTGAAAAATGCCATGTGTTGCTCAATGCCAAAAAACGTAGGGAAACAAACCCTTTGTCAATCAACGCTACTTAAAAATGTTTAAAAACGCGTAAAACAACACCAATTTAAATGTAAAGCTACACGTAGTAAAACAACAATAGTTTAAAAACGCGTATACAATGTATAAAAACGCGTATATTGATATTAAAAATGCGTCAAGCAATGGTATTTTTTAGTCATCGTACAATAGTTAACATTGTAGTATTAATTTATAAATATATATTTTATTGTATATTATTAATATATATATTATATAAAATGTGTAAATTTATTTATGATAAAATACAGTATCAATACAAATATATTATCTAATGTAAATTCCTCTTATTATAATTGGATTGCCGCAGATTTTTAAGCGATCAACGTACTAAATTTCCGTTGACAAAGCGCCCCTGGTGACACAACCATAACAAGGTGGGANGTTATAATTGGATTGCCGCAGATTTTTAAGCGATCAACGTACTAAATTTCCGTTGACAAAGCGCCCCTGGTGACACAACCATAACAAGGTGGGAATGTGATTTTTTACAATCACATAATTGATTTTTCTACGCGATAATTATATTAATCTATATTTGTCTAATGTAAATCTATATTTCGAATATTCGAAAACAATTATTCCTAAAAAATGAAAGAAATGTTTAATTAGCAAAAAAATAAAAAAAGATGGCAAAGTTTTGCAACGAATCTCACCATTTTTATATATCAATGCTCATAATCGATGCCTTGAAAGTCCTAAACTTCACTATAAAAAATAAAAGAAACATTAGAAAATGTTTCAAACTAAAAAGAAATAAAAGTTTCGTAATACGAAACTTACGAACAAAGTTTTGCAACATTTTGTTGCGAAACTTACCCATTACCATCCACAATTCAAAATCCGAAGCCTAATAAAAAAAAAGATAATGGAAATGTCAGTAAACATTTCCTAATTAAAAAAATAAAATAAATGGAAGTTTCGTAACGAAAAAATGTTACAAAACCTACCATTATCCGAATTTCCATATTCCCAGAAACTGAACCTACAAAAAAGAGAAACGCTCAGTTAGAACATCTCTTAAAGAATAAAACAAAAAAAAATGGAAGTTTCGTAACGAAATGTACAAAACTTACCATTTTCCAAAATTCCAAGTCCCGGAAGTTGGCTGAACCTACAAAAAATAAGAGAAACGTTCGGTTAGAACTATCTTAAAGAAAAAAAGACGGAAGTTTCTTACGAAACTTACCGTTTAAAGACCTTTTTCCAATATTAAGTTTCCTGAAACCTAAAAAAAGAATAAAGGAAACATTAGTAAGAGTTTCCTAATAAAAAAAAATTAAGTTTCATAATGAAACATTACGAAACTTACCCAATCATTTCTTCCGTTCCAAACTTTCCGATCCTACAAAAAGGATAAAGGAAACATTTAGTAAACGTTTCCTAATAAAAAATTAAAAAAAATTAAAATTTCGAAGGGAAACCCTTCGAAACTTACAATATCCAAGATCCGAAGTTTGAACACGCTGAAGGTCTTACACAAAGAAAATATAGGAAACGTTAGAAACGTTTCCTTATAAAAGAAATTAAAAAAAAAAATTTTTTTTTAAAAAATTTCGAAGCAAAATGCTTCGAAATTTACCC